TACATGGAGCATCAATTGGAAATTATGAACTTGAGAAACGAGCACGAGGAAACATCCAATCATAGCTCATATGTTCCTAGTTCCTAGTACCTAGTTGATAGAATCGATTTTTATTTATCTATTTATTTATTGTAAAGGAAATTGTGATTTCAGAAGAACCTAAGGAAATAGACGAATAAAAAGATTCGAAAAACTAAGGCGTTGAGCTGAGAATACACCCGATGCAACGCCACCCGACGCAAATCCAAAGTCCATTTTTCCATAAGATTGTATTACCCCCATGTACATCTGTCCGATGCTATGCTACGCTCTGCGATCCCCACTGTTAGATTTTCGTCGGGTAGCATCGAATACAGTCGAAGACAAAAGAGCCGGACACTCATATTTTTATTCAAACTACATGTGTTATTGTCGTTATGTTGATTACAACATTCTTATTTTAATATAAACCAAATTAACCGAGATCAAAAATTCATTAGGTTTTATTTAAAACAATTAATTTTAATGGTTTGGTAGAAAACTGATCGAAACACCGGAATATCATTTTTTGATATAATGAATTTAACTAACAATTTAATAAACGGTTTTGCTTATAAAATTTGACTAACAATTTGTTTGATGGTTTTGCTCTTACACCATTTTCGTCGAGTAGCGTCAGAACAGGACACCCATATTTTTTGTAGTTTATTTCGAACTATGTATACGTAATTTTGTCGTTATATTAATTACAACATTCTTATTTTAATATAACCCAAATTAAACGAGATCATGAGTTTTCATAAAAATTAGTTATGATGGTTATGCAGAAAATTGATCAAAACATTGGAATAACTTTATTTAAAACAAATTTAACTAACAATTTATTGCATGGTTGTGCTCATAAAATTTAACTAACAATTTATTACATGGTTTTGTTCAAAATAATGCATTAAGAACAAAAGAGGGGTTGCGATTGCGATTACAGATTTCTGAAATATGCTATGTGACTTACTGTACGTGGCGAGCGCTTGACATCGCTTAGATGTGCACACACACCCTACCAAACGTGGCCAAGCATCGGGTAATTGTGTACCCGGCTTTAGGCGTCACTATAAGGTAAAAATGAGCGAACATACTTACAAATGGACCTTTTTTTTAAACACTGGCAACTCGAAAGTACATATACCCTCAAGTTGAAATGCCCTCGACCACAATGCTACGATTACAGAGGATGCAAGTTGTGACAAATTTTTCACAAAGATGAAAATAAGTAAATGTTTGAGAACTTTGACAGCCTCGTCAGTAGCACAAATGACAATGTGTTCGACAATAAAGTCTATGTGGAAGATAAAAGAGGTGTCATCGTCAAAAAAGATTGCTTGAAATTCTTGAAATAACAGCTGGCTCCTTCATCGTTCCTTGCAGTAAATCACTGATTAAACTAATCCGTTTTTTCACGATGATAACATTAATAACGGAATATCAGATACAATAACGATCATTATTGGCTTCCATTTCGTAGGAAGGCGGACATATCATGGAACCAACATTCTTACGAACAGCAACGACCTGTCCTGATCTGTCAGAGCTCGCATCCATTGTAACCGTAGCCAAACAGAGAAAATATAAAATTACAGAAGGCAAAATCTTCGTGTACATTACCTTGCTTTTGTATCACCACTTCATTGAGTGTTGATTTATAAAAATTATTTTGTTGCTTAACCTAATAATGCAAAGATTTTACCGCTGATTTCCTGTCAATCATTTTCAATCTTTTTCCTCCAAAGGAACTCTCTATATAAATAATTATTTCAATTATTCTTTAAATGTAGCTTTCCCTATTACCAAAAACAGAGAGTATTTTTTGTAAACATAACTTTCCATTTTTCTTCGATATCCGTGACGAAAAACAAAATCAGCTTTGTCAATTGTTCAGTGATGCAAGATTTCCAAGATTTGCTGGTAGGATGCCGTGTTACAGTTGGGAATAATGTACCATCGCCTGATGAAAAATAATGTAGGCTTTCTCTGGATGTACTATCGTAATTCATTTTTTAGCCGCATTCGATCCTCTAAGAAGTGTATTATTTTTTAGCCTTTCAGTCGTTCCATGTATATACCATATATAATGGAAAAATTTGCCTGTTTTCTATTCTCATTCGTTTACTTATTTGTCTTTTTTTAAATTATCAACATCGGATCACAGCTGACCTTCCACAGAAATAATCTTCACTTCTTAAAGACTTCTTGTAATGATTCTTCGTTACATAGTTTCTGAATGGTTGACATGAATTCTCCCCCCCCCTTTTCGAAAATAAAATATAAATTAGTTAAACAGCATACAAATTCTATTTATTGCTGTTTTCCCAATAAATAAAATCTAAAGAATTGCAGCTTAATAATTGAGAAAATTACAAAAATATGCGAACAGAAGGTCGAGGAAGTGTATAATGCACAAAACTGTTCCTTCCATTATGAAAACATCTGCATGGGCATTCTACATTCGAAATTATATGTATGATTTTCCATAATGTCAAACTACGATCAAAATGAAACCTTTTACAATCTCTGTTACATCAAACAGTAAAGTTTTCCTGGTGTTCACATACTGTGGCAGTAAGGTATACGTAGACCCTTTACAACAAAAAAATCTGTTCCAACTGAAGCTTTTCTTTAATCATCAGATCATAAAAATTGCTGACATTGAAGTACATCCAATTATACTTTCATACCTTCCGCAAACGTCGCTGATAATCCTGTCCTCTTGAAATCACTACTTTCATGTAGTAACTTCCAAAAAACCTGATAGTTCCAGGATAACTAAACGCCGTTTGATCGCGTTCTTCTTCGGTACTTCTGGCAGTCTGTTGAATTCTCAAAATTTGTTCATTCCAAAATAGTTTAAGCAGAACACGCAAATTAATTTAGCTGATAGTCTGAACGAATAATTTCATTCCTGTATACGGCTTTCGATGTGACGACACTTTCTTCTTCATAAAGATGACGATTTCTTGTAAAGGTTGAAATCCATCCAACAGTCGGGGGGTCTTGATTGATGTCTGAAATTCTTGGATTTGATTTTTTTCACATAACTATCCCGGCCTAATAAACCATGGTGAGTTCCTTTATGTCCAAAAATATTTTTATGGATGCAGTCAGCGCCTAACTCCATGCTGAATAGTCGTATGTCGACGATGAACGTGGAATCGTAATTGACCTAAAGTCAATATTAATTTGCTGTTCAATTCAGCTTTAATCCTCTATGCCCATAACACACACATACGGGATTGAACTCAAATTACAAAAATAAATAATACATACCCGATGTCCTTCCTTCAGCAGTTCAGCAACTTCACTTAATAAATACTACACTACTTATACTTTTGAGCAAAGACCAGCAGTCTACACTAGAATAATACAATCAATTATCTTCTTCCCGTTCATCGAATAATGATGAAGTTCTGTAGACAGTTTTATATGAAACTTCACGTAAGGAAAAATACATCTTTTAGTCGATTGATTCATTATTTTATATAATCGATTATGAAATTCACTAGTATATGTTTATAATACGTTGGATACAATATAAAATTGGGAGAAAGACGGGTATGATGAGAAGAATCAATGTTGGTAGTATAGTGAATTGCTTTATTGAAACCAAAATCTGTTTCTCTTCTTCGCAAGTAGTTTTCCTGCAATTAATATTTACCACGTATATCGACTAAAAGTCTTTGCCTTTTGATGTTTTTAAAGATTAATTAATTCTTTTTCCATAAATAGTAGGTGGCGATTCTGAAGAATTGCTTTTGGTGTGACAATAACGGCTTGAAATCCCGAACCTTTCTTTACAAATACTACATACTATTGTATTTTTTTTTTTTTTAATAAACCTTTACAATACTTACTGCCATAATAGGTTAAAAGAACTAGGGTGTCGAGGACGATAGGTGTAACCACCTTACAATACTTTTTTTTTTCCAACTTATTAACAATTAAAATTCCGAGGGCGATGCCGGGATTCGACCCCAGAGCCGCTGGCGTGGCAAACAAGAGTTGGACTCTTAACCATGCGCCACGCAGCCCCCTAGTGAAATACTGATTCATGAAAATAATTAATCGTCAACCACTAAACAAGTTGATATTCAACCATAATTGAAGTTTAAAAAATCCAGTCGTAAAAGTGATCAAAAAATTTTACAAACTAAATCATTCGTTACATTATGATTTTTTTACTTACCTTGTATACTTTTAATCCTTTTTAAACTTTGGTTATAGTCTTTACTATAAACCAAAAGATATTTTTTTCTTTATAAGATAGTATTTAAACCTTACCGAGGCACACAGTGGTTTATAAAACCATGTGAGCATTTTCGGACCATAAAGGTTCGCCAACATACGATGGTGGTTTTCCATTGCCGATTTTTCTTGTTAGGTATGTCTTGACCTCATACATGCAAATTTCCATTCTTTTACTAATCTGACCAGAAAATTTGAAAATTTGTCGTGGTGTCTTCCATTTCTAGTTTCCGCAGCCAGCTTAATTAACTTGTTTTGTACGCCTTTGCTTACAGTTGGTTTTAAACAAGGTTTGTCCAACATCCATGATACGTTCAATGTGCCGGTAATTTCAAATGTTGCAGTTCACTGAAGTAAGTTTTGTCTAAAATGAAGTTCTATAATGTTATGATTGTTGAATCCTTCAGATCGTTGTTACATATTCGATGACGTCAATGATTATGATCTTCCCGTGTTTGTACAATATCAAACTTACCTTATATTTTTTTTAATTAATTTTAAAAATATACATATGATGCGATGAACTCAGACAATTCCAGCATTTCAAAATACTGATGATTCATTAAGTCCATATCCTAAGTGAAGTATCTTTGAAGGCAATTTGTGCCATTTTATGTTAAATCGTCACTTACAATTTTTAAATTTTTTATGAACTACGTTTACGGCAGTTAGTTCTCTCACATAACTCGGCGTTGACGGATTGAGGAGAATCAAAAACAAAACAGTTAAAAGGTCCTGTTTAATTCAAATTGTCTATAATCCTTAGACACATCTACAAATATAATGGTGTATCGTTTCTCGAATTTGACTTCATGGCCTATATTTTTTCTTTTTTTAAAACAAATACTACTGAGAAACAATAAAACTATATTTTTTAAACTTGCAAAATTGGTAAGAACCAATAATGTTGGAATTTATCGAGGGAAATAATTAAAAAATGAGTGCAATTTTTCTAGTAGAAGGCAAAAGTGCCTTATATTTAAGAATAAATCGAATGTCACACAAAGATAATCAGTCAAATAATGATTTCGGTTTAAAAATGAACAATTTAAAAAATTAGCGACGCCAGGGTCTTCTGGACCTGTCTAATCTATTGAAAACCTTATTGCGCTGTATTGGTTTTCTTCCCAGATTTTCATGAGGCATGTCCAAACGTTGTTTGCTAAATGGCAGTTTGTCGCTCACTTTCTGGACGTCTCGCGGCGGGCCGTCCCAATGGGGCGGACGACCCCATTTTTCATCCATCGCATCGGCTTCATCCCTCTCGTCGTAGTTGATCGATCGCTTTTGATTGATGAGCTCTCTGCAGTCCAGCGCTTCCGCCGAAACGAGGGCTCGATGATGACGGGAGGGTGTGCGCGAATCCCGCCTCCCTCTTTCCCAATGATGAATTTCGCCTGTTGAAGGCCTGGCTCTCGTCCGGCGTATTTCTTCCCTCAGATCTTCCGGCGACTTGTCTCTGGAGATTCTCGCAGGATTCGCTCTAGGCAAAGGGGAAAGCGACCTGCAAACGCTCGGAGTTTTGTTTATTCCGCGATCGACGACCACGGGTGGATAGACTTCTGCCTGTATCCCCGTCGGAAAGTCGAAGTTCCCGTATTCCTGATCTAAACCCCTCAAGCGTTCTTGCTCTCGAACCACACTAGGACGGTGGTGTTCCAACGAATCACTTCGATTCGAACGCACACCACTGTAAGGGGCGGGCTGAATGCCCGGATGATGTGGCTGTCGGGCTAAATCTGGCGAATATCCATATGCGTCTATCTTATGTGCATCCCGAGGGTGGACATCCTTATCAAGGTAATTGATACTGCCATGGTATGAACTGTGTCCTTTAAACTTGTCCGCCGTGAAAGGGCTTTCACGTGCCTGGCCACCGATTCGTTCTCCTCTCCCGCTTCGGTGATCATAGTCGTCATATCTCTCATTACGGCTGTAGTCGCCATCGGAAAAGGGTGGGCGGTCATAATGATTCGGATGTTCTGCGACATACACGGGGTCCCGATTCCTATCTTCTTCTGAAAATCTCCTTCCTATATTCCTTCTCTTGTAAACGGGACCGTAGCTGTGTTCGTCGACGAATCGCTCTTCTCTTTGGCCGTAATCTCTCGCCTCTCTGGGCATAATTTTGTCTTCCCTTTCCCAAGATGTGTCTCTCTTCCCTCCCTGCTCAGGGCGCGGTTTACCGTCGTATCTATCGAACGAAGGCATCATCAGTCTCCTATTATCCATAGCCTTGCTGTATTTGTTAGACACCCAATGACGATCGTGTTCGTTTAGTTCTTCGCCGAGAAGCTTTCGTTCTGTAACGTCTATTGTTACACGGTCTTTAGGAAGAATCTCTCTCTCTTTATAGCCGTAGTGGGAGGATCTAGAGCCATGAGCTTCTCTGTCATCCCAACTACCCCGCGAAAAATTCGCATCAAATTTTCCTCTGAAATCAGAATCCTGTCGCCCGGAAAAGTTGTATTCCTCGCTTTTCTTATTCCTGGTATATCCCGTGTCTGGGTGACGTTTCCCAGATTGCCTGAAAGATGAATGATCCTTTGCCGAAAACTGATGCGGCCTGTCCAATTCGATTTCGTCAAGCTTCCCAAAATTTGGATTGGGGCCGTATGTCGGAATTTTGTAATACGGTTTAGTCGAGGTTGGATCGTTATATTCTGAAAATGTTTTCTTTTCCATAGTATTATGATAATATGAAGTTGAAGCATAACGTTCGTGGTGTTTTGCGAACCTACTATCGTCTTCCTTAACTCTTCCGCTTTCAACCAGGAAATCCATTCTCCTTTTTTCAGATCCCCTTCCATAAAAATTATCATCCATGCCGGATTCAGTCCTGGTTTGTTTTCTTCCGGGTAAAAAATTATCGCTCGGAGGACCCCAGGAATCTTGATATTCTTGGGCCACACTGATATTCTGCGAAGTCGAAGGCCTATCCCTTTCTCGTCCTCTGCCCTTTTCCTTCACGATGTCATCACCACCTCTTACCCCCATCTTACCTCGATGGAAGTTTAATGATTCCTTACCTTTTCCTACCGTTTCTTTATTTTCCCTCCAGTCTACATCTCCTCCTCTTATCGGTAGCCACGGTTGGATTATGTCCTTAGACCTTCTGAACAAGTAAGAATGACGGCCCGGAGTCAGGCTATGCAGGTGTTTTATATAAGGAATGCGTTCGATTCCATGACCTCTCGCATGCTCAACCACTGCAAAACATTGTTTATAAGCCAATGTTTATTAAAATGTGATAAAAATATGATTCTCACGTTTTAAAGCATCATTGCTGGAGTAGCCTAGTCTTTGCATTAAGTACCTGAGAACAAAAAATTGTGATAGAATTGTGATTCCAACGAAATTCAAGTATAGATGTGAAACAACAAACCTGCAAATCAAGTAACCAGTTCTATTAACTCCGTGAGTACAGTGTACACCAATCAGCGTGTCTAAACATAATATCTATTTAAAGAAAACGGTAAAAAAACTATTTTACGGTTATTTTTATTAGTTTTTATATTATCAATTTAAATAAACAAATTAAAACTTTGTTTTTTGGGAAGGGATTGGCAAACTCATGTAGGATGTAGGCCACATGTGACCTTACTTAGTATAGAATTTCGGCAGTAAGTGAATTTAAAAAAAAAAGTAAAAATGCATAAGAATCGAGATAGAGTATCATTGGAACCAGTCCGAACGTATCAAGGGTGCAACCCTAAAGGCAGTTTTACCATTAATTTCTACATCAACCTTTCCCTCAACCAAACGTTGTTAAAAACGTGTGTGTCGAGTCGGAAAAGAATTCTAGTGGCCTTTACTGACTGAATTATGAGGCAGACTGTCTCCATGGGTGGTGGGGCAGGGCAGGACCATAACTCCATCTACAACTCCTTATCTCACAGATCCATCCTTCGATAGCACCTTTCTTTTCACCAGTTAACCGACAATTCATGACTAACTCCGTCTAATTTTCCACTAAAAACGCTTTGGGGTGTAATAAAGTGAAGAGCTTTATTTCAGGGATTTGGCTTCAGAATAATTCTTTTCCGTCGGGGTTTTAAAGAAGTTTAGGTTTAAAATAATAAGGGCATACTTACTGTCGTTTTTGTGATCTTCTAAATATGTGTCAACAATGTCGAAAAACCTGAAACAGCAAGAGCCATTATATGTAAATTTCATATATGTTTATTTGTCAAAAGGCGGGTTTAAAGAAAATTTGTGAGATAACAGACCGAACTGGTAAAGTAAGGTTATCGATCGAGGGCAGTTGGTTTGGACTTTTTTGGTAAGTTTGTTTTATTAGTTCGGTCACGAAAGGCGTTCGGCTGGCAAAAATAAGCGTGGAAACTTAAATTAACGGATTGTTTCCGAGTCGGCCGTCGGTGACGCAAAATGAACCCTTTCCGTGCCAATTCCCCAAACCCTATTCACACCGGCACGAAATTCTAGGGAAAATTAGATAACTGGCTCATGCAAGAATGCAATAACTGCATTGGGAAGGGAACACAATAAATGGCGATGTTTGTAACGTTAAATTAAACAATTCTTTAAATCGGTTCCACACCAGCATGAAGGATTGAGTTGATCGATGGACAAAAGACAGGTTGGTTAAACGGACTGTGGCCGAAGCGCCGTTAAACTACAGTCATTCGAGGTTACAGGGCATCCGTAAGATTAACATTTATCTTCCGTAATCTCACCTAGATGGGCGGTCCTGCGAACACCTGTAGCTCCCCAGATGCATTTTTTATTCACTCCAAAAGTTTATACACTCCATTTTACATATATCACTTGAACAAAAAAACTGTCGATAATATATTGATGAAAATAAAGTAACTTCTGATCGAATTGGGGATTATATACAAATTAACAAATAGATATCAAAAAACAAAATGTACATAAATTATTAAATCTAATTCACACTTCGACCTGAATTTTGAAGTTATGAAAAAAGATAATCTATAACTGTAGTCGGAGGGTCGATTCGTTTCAACCTTATATAGAACCCACGACCATCGCCTAAATACCGCTGTCTCTCCCACTTGAGCTATCGGGGTCCGATTGGCCAAATAACCTCTTTCAATTAATTAATCTTTATGCAACGTATTTTTTGAAATGAAAAAGTTAGTGTCACGAGCGGGATTCGAACCCATGACCATCGCCTAAATACCGCTGGCTCTACCACTTGTCCGATTGGCCAAATAACCTCTTTCAATTAATTAATCTTTATGTAAGGTATTTTTTGAAATGAAAAAGTTAGTGTCACGAGCGGATCGAAGTCACGATAGCTCAAGTGGTTAAGGTGGCCATTCACGATCGCTCCAAATGGAATCGCGCCAAGCCGTATAGCTCCATTTGGAGTGTCTGAAATTTGAGGGGGCGTTTACGACCGATCCACAGCCAGTCGCTCCGAACGTCACCTAGTGAATTACCTTCTCACAATGGATGACGATCTCTTGTGCTGCTGTTTGTTTTTATATATTAAAAGCAACAAACCGAAGAGGAAATGGTGTAAGAAGTGGCTCCTGAACAGAAGCCGTAATACCCACATCAATTTGATGAAAGATCTTTCCCTTGAACCCGCTGATCGGAGGAACTATTTACGGATGAATGAAACGTGTTATTTATTCATTATATTTAGTGTTCTATCGACCAAATTACTTCTTTCAATTAATTAATTTTGTTTTGTAACGTTTTGGTTGAAACGAAAAAGCTAGTGCTATGAGCGGGATTTGAATCCATAACCTTCGGATAAATACGCCGCTGCTCTACCACTTGAGCTATCGTGAATTAGATCCTCTCGGATATCAAAAAATCCGCAAAAAGAGGGAAAATTCGAAAGGTTGTAGGTTGAGATTGGGAGTTGGTGTCCGAGTGGATCCAGCTATCGAAGTCACGGGTTCGAATCCCGCTCCTGACACTAACTTTTTCATTTCAACCAATACCTTACATAAAAATTAATTAACTGAAAAAAGTCATTTGGTTAATCGGACAACGAAATATAATGGACTTAGAAAGATATTTCATTCAAACTAGCTTCAAATTGATCCGACCAAAGGAAAAACAGTCGCTTTCAAAGATTACCATTTCTCCTAATAAGACTTTACCGACTCTTACGAATTTTTCTTAATAATGACTTCTTTTCCTTTTAAAATTGTTATTTGTGTACATACGTTTCAATCAGTTATGTATCTGTCTACGTGAATGAACCCAGATGTTCCCTGGGCGCCACGAAAAGAATGGGGTAAAATAAGTTGAATAAATTAACAACTCCCCTTGTTTTCCTTCGTCTTAACGGTATTGGAAATCGGTTTTAAAAACATCTGGACAGCGTAAATTAGAGTATGTTCAGAAAACTCTAAAATACGAACCACTTATGGGAAAGGATTTGTATTTTAATGCTTTTAAGAACATTATGCTAATATTTTGCAAACGGGGATTTGAAGTGAATTGAACCGTTGATCGTCGACTTCCCCTCCCGGCATAATGTTGACACAGCCAACAAGCCCCTGCTCGTTATTCAAGTGACTGTCTGCACTCAAAATTGATACGTCTTTGTCAGGGGGAGGGCGTTTTTCAACCCCTCGGGGAAATCTCTGACAGGTTGTTGATTCTCCATGGTAAATGGAAGTAGCTGATTGCCGGGTAAAACTGCGAAGTCAAGGAAAAGGGACGATACGCATTTACGCAACTTTAAAACCATCAGCCAAAAACAACGTAATAACATTTTTTTAAACAGTGCTTTTCATGAATCTTACAAGGCAACGTGTTCAAAGTTTTGATATGTTCCCATAGAAAGAACTCACGTCCAACTCGAGTAGTTTTATTGCTCCCCACCATACGCTCTAAACTAAATCCCGTCACGTAGGAAGTTAATGAGTCTTTATAGTGGACAATGGCATTGTTAGACGGCCCTTTGATTAAATTACACCCGCAGGCCAATAAAACTTCTACGGCGAGAACCACAAAACAAGACCCAGCGGTGACCACACGGTTAAACCTCGGTACAAATAAAAGGATTATTAAATTTCGTATCGCCACTGATCACAAGATGAATTTCATACTAAAACCATTACTTTACTTAATTAAAACACTGGAAAATGAAAGGTATGTTCTGGAGGTTCAAATAACTCATATTTTCAACGGCCGATTCAATAATTCTGGATACGACAAAACAAGTCAGACAAAACCCTTGAATCTCAGTTGTATGCATTCAATAAAATCTATTTACAATTAAACATGAAAATTGAAATCGTTAACTAAAACAACGCTTACTTTTTATAAACTTTAGACTGAAATTGTATTCAATATATAAATAAATTATAAAGTATTATTATTTGGAGATCGTGAGATGCGATCTGGTGTGACATAGGTTTAGAAAAACATTTTCTGCTACGTTTCGACCTTTATTGAGATCATCTTCAGGGCCTGGGATATAAACATTGTTTAAATTATACAGTAGTTAAGATGTTTGTCACCTAAATAGGTTCCAGGGTTGAAATTGTTTTAACAATTTTCAGTTAGAGACGTTATCTTTTTTTGTAATCTGCGGGGGTGGCGAACATGTCAGATCATTTTGGTCTACCTATCCTCGCTTGTTTTGTCTGCATATAAACAAACATTGACGAAGGCGAACAGCCGTCTGACCGACCAAAACAGGAAGGATGGTCAGAAATGACCCTGCTACAATCTGAATTGAGCAAGTGTTGTAACGAGGCCGGGCCATCGTCCATGACGCCAGAGGGTGGGTAGCTGGACCACAACACAATAGTCTGATGATAATTCTGCAATACTGCTCACAGAAAATTTCACAATAACCATAAAAAATCTTAAAAATTTGTACAGAGCATTCAGAAATTGCTCTAGTCTCTTAAAAGGTGCAATGCTAGGGGCCCTCCATACACGGGTCGACTTGCGGTCGAAGGAACTCGATTTTTGTTCAGTCTATTTGTGTTTTGCTAGGAAGGTTCTCAACAGATAAACTTGGTTATTTAAATAAGTACTTGAAGTGATGAGGTCATGTTATACTAGTACCGTGAAAAGGAGGCGAAGAAAAGAATGGGACCATCCTTACAATCAATTAATGATTAAGGGAAAAAATTTAATGCACTCTTTATTTACTTTTTGTTCATTCAGAAGGTTCTAATATTTTTTATATCTATATATCATTAAGCATACAGCAGGTTATAATAATTTGTAAAACTGATAAAAAATCCTCATTCCACACCTTCGCCGTTATATCCTTTCTGGAAAATGGAAGGATGGAGAAGCATCAGGATGCTTTTACACCTTCTGTAAAAATTTTATGTTCGATGCCTTCTTGGCCTCTAATCCGAAACACGCAACTAGCTCGATTTTTGCGGTGCACTGCAGACATCACGAGTCGAATCCAAGTTGCGTCGCAACCAATTCGATAACTGATCGAAATGGTGTCGACCCGTGATGCCGAACTCGGTGTTTACACAAACTCAGTGATATAATTGAACTTGAAATCTTTACCAAAAAATGAAGACTTTTGTAGCTATCACCAGTGTCTAAAAATCAGCTAGGGGAACTTTAGCTGGTATCGGCATTCTCCATTTAGTTTTTCTTTCACTGATTCTGCAAAAGTTTGCAAATGCTCCACAGTCTTCATAGAGCATTTCTATAAACATGTTTTCCATACATGGTTCAGTTGACATGCTGCGATCCACCATCGTCTTCGGCGACGTCTTTTTTTTTACTTTTTCTCCAATTAGTTGTAAATAGCTGTCAACATTTAACAAATGCACAGCGGCTGCCGCTAAAACTTCCACGTCGTCCATCCGGCTCGCTTTGATGAACTGAACAGTCGGCGAGTGTGTAAACGGCCACTCGTGCTGTGGGGAACGAACGTGCGAATACCTCTCGCGAAGGTAGCGAGTGAAAGGTGAGCCACGAGCGCGAATGTGTAAATGCGGCATGAGTGGTCGCCTACCTACTTGCATAGAAAGTAGAGTTGTGACAAAAGTTGCGTCGCATAACTTCTTCCTGATCAGGCGAAATAGTACGTAACGGTCTAAACTTGTATTAATACCATTTTTCCGAACATTAATTCCGAGCAAAAATTGCATTCCAGCTTTTCTGTGAAATTACTTGCAGAAGAAACTTCGAACCAGTCTGCTT